AGAAGGCCCATCTTCAAATCTGGAGCTCCATGCACATCAGAAGCCCTTCTTTCACATCAAAAGCTCCACCCTTCATGTCAGAAGCTCCCCTTCACATCAAAGGCTCATGCTTAGTTTCTACACAAGAGCACGAGTCCTTATGAAAAAACATTTTATACACTGTAGAATCTTTATACACATTCTTTGCCTTTGGATTATCTTTCTAAACTTTTGTTTGAGAGAAGACAAATCCCATTTCCTTATAGAAAGCTTGAAAACCTAATGAGGAACTGAAATGAAAAGATTATCAGGGTTATTCACAAAAGGGTGAAGAGTTTGGAGAAGGCAGGAGAAGTGAACAATCTAGGACAACATAGCTGATTTGGAAAAATTCTCAATTCATCTCACTCCGGTTCAGCTATGTTGTCCTAGATTGTTCACTTCTCCGGCCTTCTCCAAACTCTTCACCCTTTTGTGAATAACCCTTTATTTTTTACAAAATATTCAATTTGCTTTCAAAGCCTTAATGTGTTTTTATAAAGACGGATGGTCTTCCAGATGGTCCTCTAGATAAATAATAATTTTAAAAAAACTAAAATTGGCCAAAATCGCTTCACTTTTACTTCCAGTCCAGTTTAACATTGGCGAGTTTTCCCCAATTGGTTTTCTGTGTTGGTCTCTAGTACAGCTTCTCTCAACTTTTTATGCTGAAGAATAATTGAAACAATTTTCAGGTCTTTCCAGTCTACAGCTCAAATCATGAACATTCAAATGTAAACTAACACTGACAGTGCATTGGCACTCAACGGAAACACTAGCAGTGCATAGGTGTCAATAGCCACCACCAAAACATCTTGGATATTTTACCAAGACTACTAATGAACGACCTGATGCATTGGTCAAGGCACTATAAACCAGAAGATATACCCAGCTAGGACACTCTCCCAAGGAAATTCAGGGCTCTGAGACCCTGCTCCTCTATAAAATTCTGCTGCCTGCATTGTTCAATTGAATAAACTTTTGATCCTGTTGTCAGGGATCCTTCAGCCATCATCAGGAAGGCATACTGGATATGCCTCCTTGTATATGGAAGCCTATTGCTATTATAATGTTGCTGACCCATAACAAGAGTGTACCTACAGCAGTAGCAGCCAACGCGAATTCCAATGAGCCAAGTAGAACAAAGAGTTCATTTCACTCCGGTTACACAATGACTTCTCAAACAGCATATCATATATTTCCAGGAGCTTCTCCTCATCCTGTGCTGCTGGTGATGTCATGTGTCTAAGAGAGTTATGAATCTGCCCAGTGTCACTCAGCCAGTGCAATTCAAGGTACTGTTCGGGAGATGTTCATCTGCCCCAATGGTAGCTTAAGGGGGATAATGAAGCCACAGTTGGGCTGATTAGAATCATCTGCAGTGGTGGAGGTGGCAGAGCGCCTGAGGACCTCTTGTGAAACTCTGGGGTTCTGCAGAACCTCGGCTGAGAAACCCTGCTCTTGTATACACTATCAGACTTCATAGATACATCATTCTTCAGTGATATACTATTTGCACTGTTTCCATCTAAAATCTTTGTACCCACTACATGACATGGAAACCTGAGACTAAGCTGGAGGCTGCAGAGAATATGATATTCATTTATTGGAATTTAACATTTAAATTAATTTAAAGTTTAAAACCCAATAGACATTTCAAATTCAGATCACTTTATGGTTTTTGTGGCTGGCCATACATCATAATGAAGCTATCTAGGTAAAATATCATGATAAAGGTTCATCGGATTTTCATTTCACTTACATATGGAGAATGAGGCTTTTGGGAATTTACTGGTGGTTGTGGTGGGTACATGGCAGAGGCCTGAGGCTTCTGAGATGGTGCTGGTGGTTGTGGAGGGTACATGGCAGAGGTCTGGGGCTTCTGAGATGGTGCTGGTGGTTGTGGAGGGTACATGGCCGAGGCCTGGGGCTTCTGAGATGGTGCTGGTGGTTGTGGTGGGTACATTGCTGCGGCCTGGGGCTTTTGGGTTGGTGCCGGTGGCCGTGGAGGGAACATGGCATTCCCAGAACCCATCTAGAGAAGAAAACAACACATATATTAAAGATATATCAAAGCATCATTACTACTTGCTTTCAGAAATTGATTTTTCTGTTCATGTGCTGAAACTACATATAGGGTGTCTAGTTATAAACAATTCATTGGGCCATTCACCCTGCAAATATCTGTGAACATTCACTGATGATATGTGCTGATACTGTATATACGAAAGTGAACATTCTTTCTGTGTTTTTCTTTACAAGTGGAATTACTTTTCGAATATTTACATGTAATATCATAATATGGCCAGTAGATAGAGATAAAGGAATATTGGAAATAAGTAATTATTTTCTATGCTCCTCATCGCCATCTATTGGCCACATTGCCATATTGCATGAGAACAACTTTCAAAAATACATTCCTTTGTGAAGAAACTTAAGAACATTCGTTTTAGCAAATGTCCACACAGAATAAACGTTCACATATATTCACACGGTGAATGGCCCTGCCAAAAGTATAAAAATAGACCCCATAGACACTTAGAGACTGATTTACTAAGGGGGTTAGCACCTTCACTTAATACATTGTGTGAGTAATCACTAGAATTATTCAATCCTATAAAAAGCAAATTCCTGTTCACTTTACATCTATGCATGGTGTATGTGATCTTTGATCAGCCAGTACTAAGTGGCTAGAGCTTCAACATAAAGGCATACAAAGTCACTGTTCACTACAGCTCCATTTCCTGATATTACATTCAACCTGGAATGGAAATATACTAATAACATTTATTTTTGCCTCCATGTGTGAATTTTTCTATAAATACAGCTCTGAGTATTTTTAATGTCCCCCACCCTTATCATGCAGTTACTATGCGCCCATACATTATAGCACTTGTAGGAGTCAGCATGTCGCCTGTATCATTACACTATTACCATCAATGTGTGAAAGAGCCATCAGTTGTCTTGGAGCTTACATGAGGTCCATTCATCATGCCGTTCCACCCTAAAGCCCCGTTCACATTGAATGATTTATCGTGCGGTAATTCCCGCGATATCGCGGCAAATTACCGCGCGATATCGCGCTCCAATGCATTTCAATGGGGCAAAGGGTCCTGCTGTCGCGGGTCGTGTGTCGCTACAGCAGGACCCTTTTTGGAGCGGATTTAGCAAGCTTGAACACGGATTTAGCAAGCTTGAAGGCAAATCTCGCAATATCGCGCAATATGCAAATCGCGCGACAAACGCGCGATTTGCATATCGCGCAGTGGGAACGGGGCCTAATGTGAGCGCCCCCCTCTGTCTCTATGCTAGTCCTATCCTCGATTATCTTACCTGAGGGGTTGAGGGATAGTCATCTGGTTTCTGTCTTTTCTGATTTCCAATATTGAAGGTGGGATTGGTCACACCGGTACTACCAGCTGTAGTTCTACTGACACAAAGAAAGTATCATAAAAAATATATTAATTATAGAGATTTCAAAATACATTGTAATTAATATTAAAATAAATCTTTATTTTTCATATATAAATAATAAAATTACTAATATAATAATTTATTAAAATATAT